ATTATCATCATTATCATTATACTCAGTCAAAACATAATACACTCAAGGATGTTATACAGGGGAACATTCCTCCTTTGACCTTGGCACAAATTCCCAAAGACCGAAAAAATGGAACAGCATGATCACTGCCTTTTCTTGTTCTCAACATTGTCATCACCCAATGTTTACACTGCAGCAAGCTCCAAACAATCACAGACTCGGACCAAATGCTTAGAGTTTGAAGTCTAGGATCAAAGAATATTAGAATTGGAAGGGACTTCAGAGAACTACATTTAGTCTTAACAAGTTTTTGGTTTTTTTTGGTGATGCAATTAGGGTTAAGTGACTTGTCCAGGGTCACACAGCTAGTAAGTGTCAAGTGTCAGAGACCAGATTTGAACTCAGGTCCTCCTGATTCCAAGGCCAGAGCTCTATCCACTATGCCACCTAGCTGCCCCAGTCTTAATGGTTCTTAAGCATGAGTTGTACATTAATAAGAAAAGGGGGCATAGGATTGGGGTAGGAGGGGAGATATATACGGAATAACTCCTTGTCTTTCTTCTCTTTCATCTTCTTTTCATTTCTTTGTCTGAGAAGAGAAGGGTGTTCAAGACTGGATTGGGAGATGGCTTAATTAGAGAGGTTAGGCTAGAGGGATTGGGTTGAATTGGGGTGGGAGGTTGGACTAGATGGCATTTAAGGTCGATTATAACTATAAGAGGATGGATACATAGCAATGTGGAGTGCCAGCCCTGGAGTCAGGAAGACTCCTTTTCATGAATTCAAATCCGGCCTCAGATGCTTCCTAGCTATGTGACCCTGGGCAAGTCACTTAACCTTGTTGGCCTCAATTCCTCATTTGTAAAATGAACTGGAGAAGGAAATGACAAACCAGTCTAGTATCTTTGCCAAGAAAACCCTAAATGAGGTCACAACGAGTCCGATATGACTGAAAAATGACTTAACTATGACAAACTATAAAAATCTATAAACTGAGATGTTCATTTTTCTAAACAAGTTCTAATTTCTGGAAATGGTTATCAATGAGTCCTTAGGCAAAGTTTGCTTTAGGCTCTCATTTTTTTATCCTTCCAAAAAGAAGTAATTTTTCTCTTTCTTCAGGCCTCTTCATAATATTTTATTTTTATATTTTCTATGCACTTAACCTTTCCTTTCCTATCTTATCTTCCTTTATAGCAGAGACTTATTTTATGATAGAATTACATATGTAGAGCTGAAAGTGACCTTAGAGGTTATCAAGTTCAATCCCTTCATCTTACAAATGAGGAAACTGAAGCTTAGAGAAGTTAAGTGACTTGCCCAGGATAGTAGATTTTGGAGGCAAGATATGAATTAAGGTCTTCCTGACATTAAGTGCCACATACTATCCACTCCACCTATCTGCTTCTTCTCATACACTAAACTTAAAGATAAGGTACTATGTCACACAGTTCATTGATTATAGTAGGTGCTTCACACTTTTTGAATCACAATGTTTACTGAATTAGCCATCTTTTTTCTTCCAATTCTAACTACAGAGCTTTGTATACAATGCTTTTACTAAGTGTTTATTAAATGAATGGATGGATGGACCTCCAAACCTGGAGCAAACATCAGTGCAGGATTATGAGCAGCTTAGGATAGGAATTTTTTTGAGCCAAATTGGGAAGTATCTTCTTTCCCTGGGCCAGGAATCAGGGCAGAAAGCAAAGCAACAGAAGTGGTTACAGAACGGAAATGTAAGGAAATCATTAAAACACACTAGTTTAGGAAGTTGAAGACTGTCTAATGAGATCAAGATTGATGCTGTATTGTTTTCTTATTGATTCTATTTATAAGTAATTGATTTTGTCCTGTAACTGCTCACGTGGCATTGTCACAGGTCCTTAAGACCATAGATGTATAGTTAGAATAGACCTTAGCAGTCAACTTGTTCAATCCTTTCATTTTACAGATGAGGAAGTTGAGGCCCAGAGAG